GACCTTTTCAAAAATCCCGGTAAATTTGTTCTGGCAATCATATCGTTCTTATGGAGATGACATGATTACTCTGAGCTGTTTACAAAGCTCCGCTGCTTTTTAATTAGATTTTCTATGTAAATATGCACTAGATGGACATCTTTGAACATTGCGCCTCGCAGTTTTTTCAACGTGTCGCGGTTCTCCATTCATCAGGGCTGCGGCTCTGCAATTGGATACTATTATGCGCGTTTCGTGTTTATAAGAGCAAAAAATTCTGATTGGCTAGTAATGTTAGTTTGGTAGAGAGTGAAAACTGTGCTCCTCTCATACCATTGGTAGGCGAACTCATGGACTCGAAAGTGATATCGACAAGTTTTTTTTAAATGTAGGATTATTTTTTTCCGCAGCCAAACACAGCACGCTGGAGATCCGGCACGGTGCCGGAGAAATTTAAGCCCTGATTAAATGATTGCAAAAATGAAATAATAAGCTAATTTTTTAAATATGAAACTACAACTGCCAGTAGGTGGCAGCAAGTAACTGTCTTAATCAGTGAGTTGCTCGGTCACGAAGCGGTTCTGCTGCTTGCTCTATTTTCTTTTTGACGGAGCAAAATTGAATTTTGTGTCTGAAAGTTACTCAGTAAATTGTTTATTTTACATTTGCGATCATGCAGATATTCGGAAAAACAGGACTCTTGTTTGTGTGATAGGCTAACTCCTATATCATAGGCATGTTATAAAAAACAGAAGCTCATTAAATGGCTGTTTATTTTTTTTTATCATTTATCAATTTTTTTTTATCATTTTGATGATATTTCTGCCCCACTATGTGTGTTGGCAGTGAGACGGGAGAGAGTGCACAAAACTCTTCAGAACGCATAATTTAGTGGAACATTAATATAATATAGAATCATCCTCTGTAAAGAAATGAGGCGTGAACACATGAGAATTTATCATTATGTTTCTAAATGCGCACTCTTTTGGGCTAAAGGCTTAATGCAGCTGTTTAAAGTAGCCATGTGAAGACAAATTAATCAGCGCAGGTTGTACTTTCACATATGTGACCCTGGACCTCAAAAACAGTCTTAAGTCGCTGGAGTATAGTTGTAGCAATAGCCAAAAATACATTGGATGGGTCAAAATTATTGATTTTTCTTTTATGCCAAAAATAATTAGGATATTAAGTAAAGATCATGTTCCATGAAGATATTTTTGTAAATTTCCTACTGTAAATATATTAAAACTTAATTTTTGATTAGTAATATGCTAAGAACTTCATTTGGACAACTTTAAAGGCGATTTTCTCAATATTTT